TTCAAATTCATTTAATAATAATTATGAAGCAATACAAAATATAACGATCGAAATCTTCATGATTTGGCTTTGTAACTCAATTTAACTTTGATATCAAATAATGAAGCACGAAGCCACAACTTCCAATGCCATTGGTAATAATCATCTTATCTCTATTTCATTTATCTTTATTTTAGGAAAAAGGCCTTTAATTTGAAACTAATTTAATTACTATGAGGTCGTTGAACTTTCTAATCGAAACACTAGGTTAAATCACATTCCCTAAGGCAAAGCAATCAACACGATTTCTTCTTGTCACTGCTTAGACTAGACATACAAAGTCTAGGTTCAGAAGGAGACAGACCACACATGGCGATGAAATTACACAATTTTGAACCACTAACCTAACCACTCACATCACGCTTGTCAAGCTCTCCATTAATTTTCGTTAATATTTATCCAACTACTCTCATTCCAGAAATGTTTCTGCAAACCAGATGAAGTTACAGTGCGTTGAATGTTAGAATAGGAAATATTAACTATCTTTTTCCTAATAAAAAATGTGAAAACTGATTAACCGTTACTATATATACACGTTTCAAGCGTGGTACATGTTTAAACTGTATCTAATACAATATTACTTTCTTGAGTTAACCGTATTATCTTAAAAACGTACAGGGTGGAGGTCAGTGTATTCAAAAAATGTTAAGTCAACTGTTTTTTATTATTATATAAATTTATTAATATATATCATAAGCACTTCGCTTTGAATGCATTTCATGCAGAACAAATATGAATCACATTTTATATAAATATAACATAGTACATTTAGTATCCGTCATGCAGTACAAATATTAATTGCAAAATATTGAATCTCACAATTTATTTTCCAAATCTAGTTGAAGAGTGAGTCACATGAAACAGATTTCGATCAGGATACAAGCGCGATATCTACGCAGTTATCTAATATGTTGGACATATTCACACATTAAACGGAGAAGTTGATTTTGATAATTTTTACGATAACACATCCTCAAAGTAGGATTAATTATTGTAGTTATAAGTATCGTTATCATAGTTTCCGTCCAACTTTTACATATACATTTTGCACGGTGCTTGTCTTTAGTGAAAACACTATTTCTATATTTTATTTTGAACACTTTTTACCTTTGACCTTTGTATCCACATATTTAACAATTCATGTTCTCTGAATTCTCTATTATGCCAACTGTATTACTATGATTATATGGTTAGTGTTTATTTTTTGTTTTACGATACTTTTACTGAATAAAAAAACAATTTAGAACAACGATAAAAAATCAGAGTAACTTTATTAATATAATGTTAAATGGAACGAAATAAATTCATCATCTCGCCACTAAGTTCAACTGGAAAGTTATAAATCAGGGGTGTGCAACAGGTGGCCCGCGGGTCCATACTCGGCCCGCCAATACATTTAGTGTGGCCATTGTGAGCACTCGGATTTGTTCCCATTGAGGCTACAATCCTAACCCGACAATTTATGTTTAAAGAGGCGCTCACAATCACGTGGATAAAAAATTCATAATGTTTTATTGCGCTTTTCGCTGCGTTCAATCTTTCGATATTTTGCCTGGTGCCGTTATTATATTGATTTGTTGTGTACATGGAAAAAAAGGGAAGATTTATGGCCCAGCTAGCTGCCTGAAGTTGATTATATTGCCCACCTACAAAAATGTTTCACACGTCTGTTATAAATTATTATAGAAAATATATTAAGAACCAAGTTCCACTCAAGTCTCCTTATTGCGGTGTATTTGGGCATTATTCATAATAGACGCTCCTAAAGTCATCTACTGACAGAAAAGCAATAAATTAATATTTCAAACTGTTTCATTCTAAAAATAGTCTCTGGTCTTCATTTGAAGAGACATAATGATGTATTCGTAATTCAGTCACTGACCGTCTAAGGTTAGTTAACTACTTTACTACTAATGGGTTTACTTCAAAATTAGCATTTAAATTCACAAAACTTTTTTTTTATCTATACACAAGACAATGTTTATAATCGCTACTTGACATATGTAATTGCCCAGCTGTTCTGAGTAAATTTACACCAAACCCCCGGTGCAAAGTGATGTCATTAGCCGTATAAACATAGACTAGTACAAGCACCCAATAACACAGAGGTCAAGCACCTCGAATCGCGACTCTATCGCCAATACGATAAGACTGGCGTCCATGTGGGTGGCCAATGAGCTTACAAATCGTGATATGAGTTGCCCAGGCTTTTTATTGACCTTTGACTCCTCATAGAACTAGAGTAAAGTTTGTTTCAAATTGCCAGATTGCATTCTTTCACTGCCATATCCATCACTCTTTGGACAGACAATCCAAATTTCTTTGGATATAACTTTTTAACAAATACAACATTTTCGACATTATCTAAAAAATGAAGATCCTTTGGTTTGAGTCATGCATTCTCTAATGACAGCATCCTCCATTTTTGACTCTTTATACATTTATAAAATATATGCGCATGCATTTGCTTACGTGATAATACCGCATCATATTAACACGATCATGCACGCACAACCCTCATCAATTTCAATTAGCTGCAGCCTATAAGAAGATCAAAACGAAGATAAAGAAAGAAATTGCATCATTGTGTCTTGATTTTATCAAGATCATCGACAAAAAGATCTCCCTGATAGAATTCACGTCACGGGATAAAATATGTATTATAATTATATTGGCGCTCAAGAAAGGTGTACCAATATGAAGGTAACTAGTTTTGTTCGCCAATTTTACATCAAGTTGTGTAAAGGAACTGAAACCTATGGGCAGGGAGGTATTCACTTGGATAACACAGACAATCCCCAAACTCATAATATGGCTAAAATAAGGAAAATCGAAATAAAATTAGGGCTTACCCTAACGTGGTACGCGTACTACGGGAGTACCATTATATTTATTATTCTACCAATTTTCGTTCTGTTCCAAGCTTCACTATGGGCGATATTCAAAGATTTTATATCTCCATTTATTTTTACAAAGTAATGATATTATTTGGTATGATTTGTTGTAATTCTTACAAATACTGAACTCCAACGGTGTTAAAAAATGTGACAATATGTCAGAAATGGACAGAAATTAGAAACATTTTGTTAGATGTAAGAGCAGACGAAACTACGAAAAAGCAGTCGTTTCACTTGAAAACATTATTACCAGCATTTTTGTAGTTGAATTAATTTTGATGATAATCTGGCTTAGGATAGATATAAATCTTCAGATAAATGAGTATTACTTCATCGTAGAATTTATGTCAAAATTAGGGTTTGAGCGTGGAGTTCGCGCTCCCCACAACTTCAACTACAACAATTAGCATCAATTGAGCATCCTTAATGCTCGAGTGTGATATAATTCTCAATTGTTCCACGATTTTGAAGTACTAGCAGAGCTGTTCAGTAAGTGGGGCAACAATTTTCAATTTTCGATAAAATTTAGGATTATGTGTCACGGTACGAAGTATTCTCCCATACATTAAAATTATTGAAGATAAGCCCACGTAAACATTTATGAAACTCGATATCTCGAGTGTTCTCCTATGTCTTCGTTATGTCATAGATAAGAAATATCAATTGGGCTGCATGGCGAGGTGGTTATCGATTGTGGTAACTTGTTTTTCCACTTCCATATTTTGCTTCGTCTGGATATTTGAATTGCCAAATATCAGACGCATATGCGATGCGACAGCTTTGAAAGTTTAAGTGTTTGGAATTGGCGGATTACTTTGGCATGATATATTGTAGTACTTTATTTTTCAAACTCCTGTATCAACAGTCTACAATACTTTTGAATTGAGCCAATATGCCAATATATGCATCACAAGCATGCTATAAGCGGGTCTGCCGTCGATATGAACCCACAAAGATAAGAACGAAATGTAATAAACAAAATGTATCCATGCCAGTGCGACCTGTGTCTAGTCATACTTTGCGCTAGAAAGTATTTGCTCCAGCAGTTCTTTATTCTTAGAAACATTCTGTTCCATCTCACTTTAAAGTTGTATTTTGATTCAAATTACAACGAACTGATTTTGGCCGGTAGGCTATTGCTTTGTCATTGTGTCAATTATTTTTGCTGTTATTACGTAATGAATGCGCGTAGCAATCAAGAAAGTTGTAAAATATCATTTCTAGCAAACCAACCATTGGAATTGACCAATCAAAGTGCACGGTATAAGAACCTCCGCCACTAAAATAAAACAAAAATAAGGACACGTGTCAAAATAACGACGTTTCTTAGGAATAGGGATAAAAATATTTTTCAAGACGAAGGCCTTCAAAATAAGCACAAATTTTAGAAATAAGGACGTTATGGCAGCTATGGCTATGAGCAAGATCCCAAACGCGTTCAAAGATAGGAAACACGAAGACGCAAGCTAAATAAGCATTAAATACCATTATATATATATATATCTGATTTTTTTTTAATTTTCAATTCGAAACAAATTATTTTAATATTCACTTGGAAGTTTGGAAGTTTTACAGATGATTTTTTATATCAGTAAACAATTAATTATAGCGCAATAAATTAATTTTTTCAAAACGTATTAAGAACTTTTTTCAAGTAAGAGCCTACATACTCCATTCATGGAAAAGAGGATGCGTTTTTAAGGTTCCCATATAACAAAAGCACAACTTTTTCGGAAGAAACCAGATATATCGTAAATGCAACAACGAATAACGTCTGCTATATCACGCCCCACTTGTGACAAAACAAGATATGGTCCTAACGTTTTATAGAACCAATACGGCGTTTTGTTTCTGCTCGTTCTATTTCAGAAACACAAGAGTGATACGCAATCATGCTTGGATATCAGCTGAAAGCGGAATGAGGAGTTGCGAATTATGGCATCCCCGTTCTTTGTAAGTATTTATAATCTTACACCCGGGTTCCTAACGCTGCCTCTCTGACTCCATGTCGTATATTTTCCCCAGCATTGTCCCGACTAATTGTTATATATATGTAGTCATATATCGCTTTCTGTCTTTTATTCCACAATACAATATAAAAACACATAAAAATTTAATTGGTCCTATTATTTTTATTTCGTAAATAACACTATAACGGTAAAGACAACACTATTTATAGACAATATAAAATCATTATTTTGGCTAAATGCAGATTTTAGACAAAACTTCGTTAAAATATTAAACCTCCCTAAAATGACGTATCACCAGACATACAAAAAACATATTATTGAACGGAACTGGAATAGAAGACCGAGAGAGGCGCATGTTACACATACGACCCACTCAGTGTCTTCTTTCTCTGATTTTTATATCAAGTATTAAGTAAACTGAAGAACACATTCAATTCTTTTTCGAATGTCCTTTGATGAAAATTTTATATTCCACGCGACTGGCTCAAGTGGCTTAGATTTCCCTATTTTTTATAAACACTTTGAGAAAAATTCCTGTTTAAATTATTCAAATTGAAATTTAGGTTGAAGGAAGACCATGGGCCTTTCAAGAATTAGGTTTTTCATTTAGAAAATTGAATAAGATTATAGAAGAATTTGAAGTTGAGTTTGAAACGGGTATTCATATTTAGATTTTTTCTCATAACATAAATCAGTACTAGCAATACCCTCAGATAATAAATGATGTAAATTTTTCCACTACAGGAATGTATTTGAAAAGCAGATAAATATAGAATAGTGACCACACAAAAAGAGAATACGAAAAGTTAAAATATAAAAGCTAAAAGCAGCTTAAGCACAGTAGGATACGGAACTTATAAGAAAGCATATCAAATGCTGATATATTAATAATATTTTATAAGTATAAAAGTATTTTGCGGTGGTTTGCAAGAGATGGAATATGTCAGCAGATAAAGCGTGAAAATTGTTCTAACATTAATCAAAGATTACCGTTCAAATAGTATTGAAAGCATAGGGTATATTTTGAGCGAAGATAAACAACTTTAATTGTAACAAATTTTAAGACTGGAAAAAAAAGATTTCCAGTCAAAAATTCAAAAATGTTGAATAATATCAATCATTTTTTAGAAACACACACCTAAAAATTTCAGCAAAAGCTTGCACTTAATTCATTCAATATTCAAAAAAAGACATCTTAGGCCCATGGCTGGGCATATATAAGGTAGCTTATGTTAGAATGTTCATAATCCATACCCTTAGCAACCGTCCTGACTAGCAGGCCGCGTAATGCAGCAAAATTAAAAAAGGAAAATTGCTCTATAAATATTAGAAATCTGAACGTCAAAAAGTTCAAATGCAGTCGATTATTTTAAATTTAAACAAGGCAAGGCTGTAGGCTCGGATTTGAAGCTGTTTGGTATTTTGCTATACGCAAGCTGGAAAATAATACTGTGGTTTTTATTATTTGTGAGTTTGTTGTTCGTGTCAACAATGTTCGCAAAGTTTAAGCGTTTCTGCTCGCGTCGTTGCATAAGTCTCTGAAGATGATTAACATTTTTGCACGACCGCGAAGCTAGCTGTCTTCTGCGTTCTTGGTAATGTCTCCTTCGTCTGCGTTTAATCCACTTTTGTGTTTTTAGAATGATTTTTTCGTTCGTACTTTTCAGCTTGGTTATTATTATTATCACCAGGCATATGAGCGGAAATTCCACTCAACCTTTGCCGTTTCGGAGAGCCTTGCGACGCCGCTGAGTTCGTCTGATCCGTCGAGACGTTCTCAATATCACTTGCGATTTCGACAATGCAATTTCTGTTGGACCAGTTTGAATTGTTGTCTTTGTGGTAATCACATCTGTTGTTTTGGAACTCAGCAATCTTTGAATCAGGGAGAACGTCAGCGTCGTGTTTCTCGATATCGATGTTTTGTTTTCGCTTACGGAACCTGCAAAAATGAGTCGAATCTTAGAAAACTGTACAAAAGCAGTGTCAAACGCTTATTCTTTCGTATTAAAAGTTAGGAAAAAGCAAAATAAATGACATTAGAATTTATTGAACGACTTAAACACCTTTGTACTTGAAGCAAATAACAGCACCCACTTCAAAAGAAATTGTTAATTAAGAAGCAAATGCTGCGAAAAACCAATGAAACCAATGAATGATAATTACAACATAACGCTTACGAGACTAGCAAAGCACATTTGTAGGGTTAACTTTAAAAAGGAAATCTGCATTATAATGTAATAGGCACGCACCGCAGAGTGCTTATTTATTGCTTCAAATAGCATTTAATTCCTAATTGTAAACCACGAATAAAAACGTTTTGAATTGGATTGAACATAAGCCAAATTGAAGTACACGAAGTGCTCAAGAATTTGATGTTTTTAGAGAATATTATTTCTTGCTAGTTTTACCTTATTAGTGCAAATAATCCTAAGAGCACTCCGGCGACTAGAGTAGCACCAAGGCCCACACCTATCAAGTTAGTGTCGTTTTCTTCGTCTGTTACATTCCCTTTGTCTAAATTCAGCAATACTATCTTCTGGTCACAATTCAATCCAAATTTTCCTTGTGGACATCTGTAACAAAAAAGTATTATAGAAAATGGTGGAGTAATTGCAATGTCTAAACCTGAAAAATTGAAAGCTTTTCAATGTCTTGCGAGCCCTGTGGTAACTATTAGTAACAAGACACATTATTAAGGAACGAAGCACTTTGAAAATGTAAAATGTGATTTATTCATTTGTTTCGAACATTTTGATATAATCGATTAATATAGTGAACACACCTAAAAATATTTTGCCATTTTTGATACAAAAAATTTATTTCGATCTCTAACAGGGCTTTTGAATCTCGGTCAAGAAAATTCATCATCCAACAATATGCAAATATCAGTTGCACATATCAGCAAGAGTATGAATCAATACAAGCTAGTTAAAACGTTTAAACGTTTTTATTCTTGATATAATGTCATCGTACACTATACTTGAGGATCCACTAACGGTATATCGAAGGAAGATTTAGTAACGAATTACGTAAATATATTTCAATTTATAACTCCTGAAACCGGACAAGGAGTCACACACAGTTCAAACATACCTACGCGCTTTTCGGCTTTTAAATTTGCAACATTTATGTAATTAACTGACATGAAAGTCGATAGAATTATTTAAAAGTTAAAAATAAGCCGTGGGGGTTGTGACAACTGACAATCTGTTGGATTTTGATTTCGACATGTCTTGTCTATATGTCGGAAGCCTATTTGAACAGCTGGAGAATACAAATAGTACAATCTTTCGTCGCTTGGTAAACAAATTAATTGTAATGGAATGCGGTCAGTGTGAAATGATTGTACTGAGATAGAGGTAACACAGGGTCTATACTGATTTTAATGGCACATGAAACAATTTCTCTGAAATCAACCCTTTATCATACTTTGATTGCGACTGGTGGCCCTTGCGGTCTATGTGAAATGGTTGTACTACGATAGAGTTACAGGATGGAGCGCCTGTTTGAGACTTCGGTCAGACAAAACTATTCCGATAACGACGGAGAGGCATTTGAAAAGTGTAAGATGCAATTTCGGATAAATCAGATAATTAACATATTCTGATTGTGGGCTGGCGTCCCTTGTCCAAATAAGAAAACAATATCTTGTGGTTATACTATTATTGCACTAACATTTTTAAGAATATTTGCTTAAAGCAAGTTCACGAGAACTTACTCAGGAGAATGATTCCTCAGCGAAGCTACGGGCGATCACTAAAATGACAATATATACTGACTGACAGTCTGACACCATAAAGAATTATAAAGTGGGATTTTGCGTTAGTAGATACTGATGAGACTTGAAGCAGAAATAGAGGTTCAACTTACTCGCATCGCGTTTCCTGAGTATTTTTGTCTTTCAGGCAAACCCCGCCATCGACGCTTTGATCTAATGTGCCGCCGCACGGTCCCATAAAGTCCTCTGGTTTAGGACACAGATGCCAAGTTTGGGCATTCTTTGCTGAAATATGAAATAAGATTAAGAAATTTTCCAACATACACGCACATGATCTATTGCTTCCAAATGTAATGTGGCAATATTCATGAAATCAAAATCACAGTCATTAGAAAATGAAATCTTATGGCTCACATGCATGAGTGTGAAAAACAAATTCAAAATGCATCACACTCACTCCAACGATTTATGCAAACAAATATAAAGAATGTTACCTAGCAGACTTTCTTAATTAAGGCTTATGTTAGAACTCTTATGACTTGTTTGTAAGCAAACCATCCATAGAAGGGAATCGAAGTGGTTTTGAACTTCACTATAGCTTTTTTGAAAACTTGTAAATAACTCAATGCGATGTGAACTTTAGCTTGGCAGGAGTGACATTTAAAGTTTGAAACTGACGGAGTTTATATGTAAGCTAGTAAAGCCAAAATAATTGCAAATAAATCCAGCCTTAAGTTAGTTAAAGCTTAGTAAAAAAAAGAGCGAAAAAATCGGATCAGAAGGTATAATAATGAGGCAATTTAAATATTATAAAAAACTATTCGCCACCCACACATAGGGATTAAAATTTAAAATCCATGAAAATTTGCAAGTGATGCAAATGCAAAATAATTTTATTGGTAGAGAGTGACTGACATTCAATTTAAAAATTGATGAAAAATTTTGAAAGGCTACATCATAATTTGTCGATATGCATAAAATGTGCTATTTATTAGAAAGCTTATAAAGTACCTCCACAATGATATAAAATTGCACTTGCACACCGCTTATGCTTTTATTCAACGAAACTCGAAAAATAAAACTTATTTTATTAAAGCACACCATGCCAAGAAATTTGCTTCCACCAAGCGACAGTATAGAATTCAAGACTGGGTGTCAATTAATATTCAACAGAAATCATTTGCAGTAAAAATGTTCTGGTTACTGTACTATCAGTAATGTGACCACCACCATTCGAGACTCCAAGTAAACATCCATAAAGAGTGCGATATTTACTATACAAACACGAGTTGTCTCAGTGTTTACGCTTTAAGCAGATGGCCAAGCATAAACAATTTAAGTTATCCTAACCTTCCTCAGTACCTTGGCATTGCTTAGATATCGGTTTCTTGAAATCGAATTTTATCAAAGGAACGTCTCTCTGCAGCTCGCATGCTTCTGCCATAACAAAGCATATATTCCAAAATATTTTCGGCCTTTGACCCTGAGAGAAAGGGAATAAACAATTATAAAATTATGGAGGAAAACAATTATATAGCTATGTTTGGCAAATAGAGTTAGAGCATTTTTTGGTAGAAAGTGTTATTGACGAATCGCGAAAGATTGATATTAAACTTTAGTGTGTTTGCGTATAGTAGTCATGTTCGGTAATATATGGTCTTATTATATTCCAAATATATTATATTCTTTGGTCCGGAGATAAAGGAATAGACAATGTTGAAATTATGAAAAAAAATATTTCTATGCTTTTGTTATATTATATGTTATATTATAAGGCAATTTTGTAATTTTATGGTGGAAAGCCTAGGTGAATCGCGGAAGCCAAATATTAAATCTCGTCAGAAAGTACTTATGGAACGAAATTCGGTCCAAGTGCTTGACGCCGACACAATTTCTCAGGCTTACCAATGAATTAGACTTACCTTCTTCGGCGAGCAGTACAGTTGCTCAGGGTTCATGTTCCATGTTGGTGGATTACAATTCATTGGACAAATACATTGGTTATTAGGCCCACATCTTCCACCGTACTTGCACTGACCTTGAGCATCGCATGATGCTGCACTTGAAAGTGCTGAAATAAAAAGAATATTTTTATTTTTCGGGGAAAAGTTTGTAGTTTTGCTTAAACAAGACATTGAACAAGTCGACAATGATATTAATGTGGTTAGTTTGTGTTATTGAAAACATCGGAATATAGTTGTTGAAACTGTAGAGAAAAAACGTAGCTCCAGAAGTATGTGTACCAATATGGAGGTAAATAATTTTGTTTGCTTTCTTTACGCAAGTTAGTTGTGTAAAGGGACTGAAACCTATGTGAGGGGGTATATTCACTTGGTTAACACAGAGAGTCCTCGAACTCGTAATAGAACTGAAAAAAGAAAAACCCTAAGCCTAACCCTACTCTAACCTGATACACACACACACACACACTGCAGGAGTACCGAAAAACATTTCAACCGAAGACTCTTAATATAAGAGAAAAAAAGCAAAACGTTCACAATCTTGGCTATTGAAAAGGCTAATTTTGTTTTAATATATGTTTAACATTTTTAGAAATGTTAGTCAATTTGAAAAATTTGTAGTTGTTCAACTCGTAAAAGAGAAATATATGCTTCATACGCGTTACTTTGATATAACATAAAACAAAATTTTGTGAATATTTTTCAAGTTGTACTTGCCGTTAGAAAATCTCAATTGTACAAATCTCAATGAGAAACAGGGGGTTCACAAATGCTGACAAGTACAAGGGACATGCTAGAAAATTCTTCGATGAGAAAGAGAAATTGACACTAAATACTCATGGGATAGGAAGGGAGTTAACGTATCGGCCAACCTCGTCTGCGTTTAGAAACCACAACGGATATGCATGAAGGCACGTGCGTTTATGTTTCGTAATGGCGGTTAAATGGAAAGCAACTTTGATAGTTGAAAGTGTATCTTACGCCTCATGTGTATTGAATCAATATCATATTACCTAAATGCGTGAAAGACCGGGATTTTTTTAATCAAGTAGCTGTTTTTTCCATTGGTAAACAAAATAGGGAAGAACTATTTCAATTTTCCTCAAAACTAGTATTATTCTAATTTGTGGGGAGAATTTGAATTCATTTCATCGTATTGATTTGAATAGAAGTGAATATGGAATAATATACGTAGTTGGACGATAATTTCAAATCAGAGCGACTTTGACAAATTACTTTTTCTTCAGAAAGAAATAATTTCAATGACAAACATCATTCAATAGTGTTTAGTTTTGATAACTTGTGGTACACAGGTAATCACGCGCACTCAATAGATGATCAGAAGCGATAAAAATATCAGTAACACGTACCAGAAAGCTTTTTTACTCTTAAAAGGAAAGAAAGTAATATATCTACCAAATTAATATACCGAAAGTATAAAAACCTTATTATTCTAGTAATGGAAATGTACCCTAATTGATCGCAAAAATGAAACGAAATATTGTGTTCCCTCAAGAATGTGTCAAAAATTTCTCAAAATTTGCGCAATATCTAAACACCGCGGTCAATGACTAAAAAGGATGATTACCCAAAACTATGAGGAAGTGTGTAAGATGTATTGTATACAAAACTATTCATCAACACCCTCAGCAGATGTTTAACTTGTTTTACAGAGTTATTACAGACACTACACTACAGATATTTGAGCCAAGTAGTAGTATTACAAAATAGTCACAAAAATCTGCAATTTTGAAAGACAAACTATTCGTCCATCATGCCTAAATCAGTCAGAGAAAGATAACCCATTATAATAAATAGCAAGAAGAGTAAATTATGTATAATATGGGAAGAAACGTATTTGTCAATGTTGCTTTCAAGACATTTCAATGTCAGTTTATCACTTGTTTTTCAAAATATGGTATAACTTTAGTCACGGGGAACAAGAAATTAACGAATAGCAAAGATTATTCACAAAAGTTTATCTCCCGATTACAAAAACAAATGACAGAATTTATGCATCGTTTACGTCGTTTACAATGAGTTCGTCATAAAAATTTCATTAGGTTTCGTTATTTGTGAAATATTATATACACTATAAATTTCCTTTGCCTTCGGCATATTATTGATTCGTTCGTTGCCCGGCTTTCTCAAAGGCATTCGGCGTAAAATAAAGTGTCGTCACATAAGTTTTCAACGTCAACTGTGAAAATGCTTGAAGCTATTTCATAACGAACAATATTTTATTGACTAATTTGATAAATGTTTTTCACAGCTGACTAGAAATTCAATAGTTTGCGGCTTATTTCCTAAACCAATTGGTAAAGTCATTAGACCATGCTGGATAGTATGTTCCATTTTAAATACGGCCATGCTAGTAAAAACGTGAAATGCGGTATTCGTCGTGGGAGAATGACATAAAAGCGGTCACGGGTAATTGTTTCGTCACCATTTACATTTCCAACAGGTGATTGTGTGTAAATAGTACACACGTGGGTAACAATATTATGATGTCATGAAGCCCGTGGTCGAAATGACCTTTTATGGAAAACCATGTTATCATCTTACAATTCAGGAAATGGGCAAATAATCAAACTAAGTAGTAGGCTTTGGTAAACCATTAATCATTTCTAAGAGGAAAATTTCACGGTACGTCAAGTGCATCTTTCAAAAAGAGTTGGATAATTATTTATTTTCCGTCTTGGTTTCAATTACAATAGCTATGCATAGAAAAGTCACATAAATTAAAATTTGAAGAAGGCGTGCTATCTACTCAGATCTAGATCAAGACAATTTAATCAAAGGTGAAATACATCTTACGTTGTATGTAGTCTTAATTGATCAATGTTATGACAGATTCTAATTAAAATTAAATAGTCTTACATATAAAACAAATAAATGACTATTTGAACATTTTTTATTCAAATATCTGCTCAAGGCTAAATCCAAAAAATATACTCTTAGAAGATATATGTCACTTAAAAGTATTCTTAAGTGAACACTAATGTGCGTAAGCGATAAACAATTTAACGAATAAATTCGAAAAAAACTTGCAGAATAAATTGCAAACAATTAGGAAGCCTGAGATATGTTTAATATTGAATCTGTCTCAGGAGTATGCACCCTTTATATAGCGGTTACACAAGCCTTTAAGGTTTCCGTTAACAACATCAAAAACGTATTTGATGTCCTCCGACATTGCTTTACCATCTCTAGTTTTTAACGGGGCATATGCTTAATCTTAAACAAATAAATTATATTAGTAATTTATCGGGCTTTAAAAGATGCGCCCGCCTTGTCGGAGTGTTTGAACAAAATCGTTTTTTAATACAACAAAATGCAATTGGCTTAACTGTATTGAATTTATAAATGTATTCACATCTATGCATGGCAATATTGTCGAACTAGAAACTTATAACATTGATTATTAATGTATTTGTTTAATAATATATCGGAGATTTCGCACACGCAGAAGCAAAGTTTTATATTCCAGTGAATTCTCGTATGAACTCGATTTTTTGGATACATAAAAGCTTATGATATCGTCTGTGATTTATCAGACTTTCCGCTCTAGACAATGTCCAATATACTTATTTCAATATATCGTTTGAAGTTTATTCAACCGCACCACGTGTGGGAACCACAATTTACTGTTAGTGTTAACGAAAAATAGTCTAGATGTCTGCTACAAAAAATCTAGGCTTCAATCACCAAAAATTTGCTAAAAATGAGTCAATATGGTTCGTCATACTGGCGGCTCGCTCAAGCAAGCCCATCTCAGATTTGACATTAATGACGAGTCTAATCCATCAAGGGTGAATAAAATAATATATCTGATTGACGTAAAGTTTTTGTTGGAATCTTTGATTTTTTTGAGGTATATAAAATTCCTTTGTGTGAACGTAGACAGCAATTCGGAGACAATTATCGTTTATATATTGTCTGGAACATGTAAAAAACTGGCAACCGTAATGGCTAACCAAACAAGAAAGATGAGGTTTTATGTATGTGGACATAACGTTTATTTTTGGTTGAGATATCCCTAATGAAGTGGTTGTATGTGTCATTATCGCTATATTCAGACCGGTACTTCACGGGGGGTTAAATTTTGATATATTATAATCTATATGTCATTGAAATGATGGATCGCATTTTCAAATTCGAGTTTCGGGTAACTACTTATAGTTCTTGGCATGTCGTTAGATGCATAATGAGTTTGTGATCTCATAGACCCAAGTACGTGATAATAATTAATATGACCTTACAAAAAAATTATAAATATTTCAGGAAAATTCACCAGTTAGAAGTCAAATTATTTTGAGCACAAAACCCAATCAACCCAAAAATCCAAATTTAATACCTGTCTCAACAACTATATTACAACAGGATAAAAATTTTATTTTTATTTTAGAAGTGGTTTTGTTTGCCACTCTCTAGTCAGTTACTAATCAAATTCGCGGTAATTCGAGTGATCTCCACTTGACCTATATTTGCAAATTCCAAGCAGGTCTAAATCTTCAAAACAAACATGTTTATTACATGTATTGACATATCATAGCCAGGTGCAACAACCCACACTCTCGATAGCATGAATAACAACATTTGTAAATAACATTGTAAAATCTATACATATTTCGGTACATCTTGGTGCGCATACTTCATGAGGTCCAAGTGTACTCCCGTCGTATTTGTACCAGGTTGGGATCAGGTCATAATTTTATTCTGATTTTCCTTATTTCAGTTCTATTACGAGTTCGGGGAATGTCTATGTTAGCCAAGTGAATATTCCCCTTGCGCATAGGTTTTAGTCCCATTACACAACTTGATGTGAAGTAGGCGAACAAAATTAGTTACCTCAATACAGGTACGCACACTTCTAGTGCGCCCCGAAATGACCTGAAAATGGAAGAATTTAACTCGACAGACACAAATGTTTTACTACAAATGTTGAAACATGTACTAAATATACTTTAACTATGGATTGTGTTTTGCGTACAACTATTGTTTTAAAATCTATGTGAATTCAACCATTTTTTATTAGATACATTCACACAACTAACTACTATTTTAGAACATGATTAAGTTATGCTATTGATATTTACAGGCATCCAGATGTCATCACCGATATTCACTACCTATTGACACAAATTAAAAAATCAATAAGTCGAGGTATCAGAATGATGTAGCTTCATAATTTGAACATCAAAATTAAACTGTTTAAAGGTATCATTTGGACCAGAACTATAATTTTAGCGAGAATTAATCTATTTAGAAATAAAATGTTCTAACATCGCTTCAAATAAACTGTAGTTATTGTCATTTTGGAACATATTTACCAGTTGTTGGCTTAAAGATACCGTTTAGTGGGAATATTGACCAATTTTCAGTGTTCAACAAGTAACTCTCAATTAAATGTAATTAAATAGTTACAAATTGTTTCCAATGATATCATTCAGAAATAATAACATGTTATTTATTGGGAAATGATTCAAGCAATGTACATAATCTTTTAACTAGGTTGAATCAATAATAGGACAAACTACCAAATTACTAAGTAAGTTCAAGAGTGGTGATCTGAAACAATCTAACACTACTTCATTACGGAACGAGCAATTCATGGAGTTTGGCAAACTAATTATTCTTGTTTCAATAGTAAAGTACAAGCATAATATTTTTACGAGATTTCGAAGTGAACAAACTTAAAAATTTTATTCAAAAAATATAGATGTAAATGAGACACATGTAAAATTATGTCTACTGGAAAATAGTTTTCTTTCTTTTAAACAGAGCTCGATGTGAAGATTGCCTAATGTTAATAGTTTAAAAATTTTGATATTTACGAATTTCATGGCGCTTTCAAAACGAATAAAATTTGAACAGTTTCGAAAATTTGCTGAAACAAGAATATTCAAATACTCAAATTATAGCTGTCGTGAGGGATATTAAAAGATAGGCAGAAATGAAGCACAGCAAACGTTAAATCCATTTAACCTATTTTATCCATATTCCAAGCAAAAAAGATTTTTGTGTCAATATACAAATATCTAAACATGTACATTGAAAACTCACCCAATAGTGAAGCGAAGCATATCAATAAAATAAATAATTTTGAATTCATTCTTTAGCTCTTGATTCGTCGACGATGCAAACAAAAATATTTCTCGATTCTTGTTTTTAATATTATTAAATAAGTTTAATTTATATTTACTTGTTTCTACAAAAGCAATGTCGTTCGATAAAATATGAGATTAAAGCGCAAAATATCGATAAAACTTTATCACAATTTCTACAATAAAACATTGCACTGGCAATATACACTAACCTAATCACAAGAAAGTGAAAAATCCTTGTGATGCGATATTTTCTTGCACTACACATTGAATTAAAAAAAAACTAGAGATGCAACAATCTTAAATGATGTATTTTTGTACTGAACCTAACAATGAGCAGAAATACATTTTATCCTTAATTCAAGCACAAATTATGCAGAGCGTTATATACTTGCATATCATTATACAAATTCCATACAATATAAGGTAACTTTAATATTTGAAAGCACTGCAATTTCAACGGGCTAACAATGCCTCTGGGAACTGCAAATGAGATAACCGACTCGCCTACCAAGTATGTAGCAGCTACATTGCACGTATGCTTGCCAAGTAATTGCCAAACGCATACGTGGAATTGTAAAGCGATACTTAAACCCACGTGAGATCTGTAGGTTCTGTTGAACCTAGCACGCTACGCGTGTTGTCTCCGTTATAAATTCTTGGCAGGCTTCTTATATATACAACATTTTTTCCTGCTTGTTTCGAAACCTGAGACGTAGTTTGATCTGTGGTTAAGATTACCGCATTCTACGTCGTTAGTTGATTTTCTCTCTCGAATATCGGATACTGAATTACGAATTTTTGCAAAAATTAACCGAGAGAATTTGATAAAAATTAAAAGTGTTGAAAGAAAAAAGACACATTCCTCATACGAATAAATAGTACGTAAACTCAACGAGTATTTCATAGTATCTTCATATAGACCTAAATGATTATTGTATTGGGCCTAACTATTTTAGCCTACCGTGTTAAATGTCTTGTGCAATATGATTAGGTATTATGTATGATTCGATTTTGCTTTCCACAACTTTAACTCCCTTGCCCTACTTTTAAATTATCACTTGTCTATAGCTTTATTGGGTCCAAAATAGCAATGTTTTTTTATAAATCGTACGACAAAGTAGGATTGTACAGTTATAGCAACTAATTTTGAGAGAGAATGCTATTTGGCAATAACGTAGCTTATTTTAAAACTGAGAATTCTTTCATTCGAGTTTCAAAGAAGGCGTCAAACTGTACAATCTGTACCAATCCTGAACCACCAATTATAACAGCAAGTCTCAACGATAGGAGTATTAACATGCAATACCTTATCAAAATATTAATCAATGTAACGATAAAACTACCAATAACAGAGAACCGATTTTAGAAACATCTCGATAACGTTTTGCGTCACAGACTTTACAATCTCTAGACGTCTCGTTCCAGCGTTAATTTCTCTCTTTTGCAATCGAAAATATCGTCAAAATTAATCTCTAGCAGATGATGAACATCCATTGATTATATTTTTGGAAACTTAATCAGAAGTATCTGTCAGCGTTATGAGTTGTGTAGGTTCATTTTCAAGACTTCGTATGATATATTAAACCCGTTGTTAGGTTTAAGTTTCACATAATAATATTGGGATAGATAAGCGGTTTTCAACACGGGTCCATGACCCACCAATTTCACAAGAGGTTTACCCTTTGTTGAGCTTGAATTGTTTAAACAATATGGGATTTGGAATCTATAAATGTTTAAACAACACTATAAATACCACTGGAATGATAAGCAGGGGGCAAAGAGTGCTAAAATTCACTGAAAAGGAGCTACAAGCATAAAAAAGTTGGGAACCACTGGTATAGAACATTATTTATATTTATCTCGGCGGATGGTAAAAATATAATGAGACCTGATTGGAACATTGTCTTTTATCGTATGTTTGCCAGCGATGTCGGATAATGAACGATCCACATGCCGAAACTTGGCGATAGAAACATATTTGAAAGTGCATTGTGATATCGATTTTAATTTTCGGGTATGAGCATGAAACACTTGGGCCAAGATTGTCTTGAATCTTTTACACACCAGCCGTTTCATGGTTTCAATATCACACACGTATTTATTCAATGGCTAATAAACTGTTAGTGCAAAACACTACACGGAGAAGGGGGTAATTCCTCATTAAACCAAACATGATTATGCCAACGTACATACAGAAACATTATCGAAAATATGTGACATCGCAGTTAGACATTTTTCAAGACAAAAATATTTTTATTTTTATCTCACCTGTCTCAAAAATAGGGGGAACATAAATAATATTACTTTGATATTATTGATATTTTATTTCAAGTGACGAATTTAAATAAATAAAATGACTAAACAATATAAAAAATATTAAATGCTTCGGTTTCGCGTTTTAAAAATATTTTTAGAATGATAAAAATGTTTTTTGTCATTCCTATCAATGAAATTCGCTCAATGCACATCCACTGAACAAATAACCTCTTGTATAAATTATCGATGCTACATAATACTTTTATAAAACAACTTCATACCGAGACTGTGAACACTTTTTCATCAGTTAACAGCATCTCGTTTTGTTAATATCATTCTAATATTATTCACTATTATTTACATTGTCTACTTGGCCTATAAAACGCAATGAATCATAAGATTATATTAATTAAAAGAAATGTAATATATTAATAGAAATTTCGGGCATTGGGGTTTTGAAAATGTCTTCGGAATGAAAAACTGCCTACTCCTTTTAGCTCGACACAAGGATGTATTAACAAAAACAATCCTTATAACGTACTGGTACCACAAAGTGAATGTATAAAAACACCAACGAAATAATCACCAGAGTTTACACGAGACCACCTCCCAATCCCTCCGCAATGCATTTGCGCTGATGGATCCGTATGTTTATAATACAAAGATACTGTATCAGGAATAAACACGACAATACTATGCAGTTCAATAGACCTGCTGCACACCAACGTTAACACATGTTTTAGTGTGCAGCAGGACTTTTTAATTGCACGACAAAGAAAGAGTTTAAGGTATTTTCCAAATGTCACTACCTCATCTATCAGTAAACACCATTTTAATCACTGACACTGCTAAAATAGCGAAGATGTTAAATCAATAAAAGGTTCGATATATGAAACCTTTTGCCTCCGACGACCCCGTATTGTCACCGACCTATTCACCCTGTCACTGCTTCCTTCATAAAATATTAAACACTCTCATAAAATATAAAAATAGTTGAATCATGTTCGTTGCAGATATAAATAAGTATTGACAATAATACACAGAAGTCACGTACTCTTTCCTCTATCTCGTCTACGAGAGAAATGTTGGTTCAAAATCTTTATTGGAGACTATATGTACATATGGATCGTTTTGTTATAAAGTTGTTGTTTTTGTCGGTATTTTCTTCTTGTTGTTATCGTATGGAAAAATTGCTTTCCTTAATTAATACTGGATTAATTGTTTTGAAATTTTCAGTGAAAAGATTGTATTTTTTGCTAGGAGGTATTTTATTTATTTCAAATATGTCTGTACGTTCTATGTCATTCGTTTTTCACGTCTAAATTTTTTGTGATGAACTATTGAAAATTAATTCAATACAAATTAATTGTAGCGGTTATTCAACCTTTCTCGAGCTACTTCTCTCCCTGCGCGATGGTAGAAAGTTTTTTTGACGGTACCGGTACAGTAAAATAAAAGTTAGACTACTGCTTCGCTCTGGTTTTCGTGCCCATATAATGCAATATCGCTCCCATGTTTAGCGAAGCGTGCCTATCTAACCATACCAGTTCGCTAATTTTTCTCGCTTGCACGTACACGATACTAAAGCCGTGAATCGATTTGTTTCCAATTGTCTAAGTAATTTTATGTGCTATCATGAGTTTCAACATGTTTACGGTACGCGAAAATCAGTAGATCACGTGACTATAAACTCATCTTTCTACTTTATACATCTTCTGCACACAGATAAGGAGATTGTTTTGCACCAACCAGGAAACTTTATCACAGTCACAACGGTATAGTGAATGCAAAGGCCCAGGAACTCTGCCATATGCCATGGAATATTTGATGATTTATAACAGTTAAATACATTTTTATGAGGCATTCAAACAGTACTCTTCACAAGAAGAAACCGACTACTCAAGAAGTTATTGTCTTTGGAAAGAAATTTTCAAGTTTGGCATTTGTTTCCCAATTTATAAAGCGGTCTCGCGAACCAAACAATTAGGATTCTTTTAAAAATTTAACTTTATTGGGAGCGAATCTGTGATAGCAAAAATATATATGTACGTGTATACATATAAAAACCTTCTGTTTACTGTAATTTGATGCGTGTGGTTTACTAATGATATGTTTGTTGCTTCAAATTGAACGATATACTAACAATCTAAAATACGTAATCGCAACAGGGATATGTAATAATTTGACAACAAACCGTAATGTTCCTTTACGTAATTAAGACGTAATAACTATTTAGGTAACAAAATTTACGAACCCAAAGACAGCAAGGGGGTATGCTGGTTGTTTCAGATAATGATTTCAAAGCCATTCCCACACGATCGCTAAGGGTGTAATATGTAAGATGGCCCATACCACATTAAATTGGGCGCTCCAGAAGTGTGTGCACCAATATGAATGAAACTAATTTTTTTCGCCTACTTTACATGAGTTGTGGAAAGGCACTTAAACCTATATATTCACCTGGCTAACACAAACAGTTTCCGAACTCGTAATGAAACTCAAATAAGGAAAATCGGAATAAAATATTAGCCTAACCCTAACCTGGTACACATACTACGGTAGAAAAATTTACGAAATCGAAGACAGCAAGGATGTATGCTGGTTGTTTCAGAAAATGATCGCTAAGGGTGTAATATGTAAGATGGCCTATAACACATTAAATTGGGCGCTCCAGAAGTGTGTGCACCCATATGAATGGAACTAATCTTTTTCGACTACTTCACATCAAGTTGTGTAAAGGGACTGAAACCTATATATTCACTTGGCTAGCACAAACAGTTTCCGAACTCGTAATGAAACTCAAATGAGGAAAATCGGAATAAAATATTAGCCTAACCCT